ATTGTCTTTTTCCCAGTAGGGATATCTAAAGTTAAGGGTCTTTTGTTTGTATCACAGTGAATTAAAACTAAGGGATCTGGCAAGTTTATTGTTAGCATTATCTAGGCAAAGCATATAAAAGAAAGCTTTTTTTGAAAGCTAATTTTCTACCCTGGCTGGGTGAGTTGCTTGACTTGTCATTTTGTTTCATTTCTCTAATCTATTTTTATTTCTGCAGAGAACTTGAAACTGACTTTATTGAATTAGCCTACCAGTTTAAAATGATCTCACTTGCCAGACGTGTCAATCAAATGTGTTTCTCACCAGGGTGAGGTCGGTGCCTGTCCCCCTGCCTTTGTTACCCTTTCAAAGTTGGTGGCTCTCTGGAAGATGATGGCCTTCTCTAGTTCATGAGTCCTGCTTTTTAGAAAGAGACACAAGGGCTTCTGTGTTTCTCTCTGAGAATTTCCATGTAAGTTCTGAGGGCCTGTTTATCTTCACTTTAGGAATGGCAAGGCTTTAGATGAGATAGAGCCATAATTCCTCAAGGGATCAGAAAAAGATGACCCCACAGACCTCAATTCCCATCCTGACCATAGGGTTGACATGTTTAATGTCACATAGTGTTACAGGTCTTAAAGAACAAGGGGGGAAATATACCTTTCATGTTTCTCTGGATTTAGATCTAAAGCTGAAGCCTTAATTTCCAGGCTAAAATGTGGAGTCTCTAAAACTGAATAAGCAAGTTGTTAATTTTGAGTCTAGATTTAGAACATATTCCTGAGTTCTTCTTTTCCCAATTCTTTAACACCTATTCCTGGTACTTAGTACTCTCCACATCAGGGCTATATACCAATACAATTTAGTCTTCCTTCTCAGGTATAAACTTGTCTGAACCAAACATTTTTGGTCATGTAAAAATCAGTTTAAACTGAATATGGACTTAAGGAGTTTCTGTTATCTTTATTACTCATTTTGATTCATGGAAAGAATTGTTGAGTTTGAAAGGCTTGATTTCTCAGAAGCACTCACGTTTTTAATAAACTTAATTAAAGGCTCTTAATTTTGTTGTGTATGATGTCAATTTTCTCCTCTACTAGAGGGGAAAAAAGGTTTATGACAGATTTTCTTTATTCACAGCTAAAGATTGAGGTGTGAAGCATGGTTCTTATTTCCTTTATTTATTGTAGCTGGTTCTTTTCTAACCCTCTGAAGTGCAAAAAAAAAAGCCATTGGATTTATTATATCTTGCTGCACAAAGGTAGATTGGTCATCCTTGAAATTTTAGATATGTGAAATAAAATTGTGATTGAAGCAAAGCAAATGAGGGTCAACCATTTGCACATAATTCAATACTTTCTCTTCCCCCCACATATTGCAAATCATCTAAACTGTCTTTATAGTTCAGATGAGCTTCTTTTTGAACCAAATGAGATGACTGCAAAAAAAAAAAAAAAAGTCTGACCTTTCAGAAATTTCCATGATTCTAACATATTAGAAATTATTTTCCCTAAAACTGATATGAATATGAAACTGATAAAAATAAAACATTATAGTGATTTTTTGCTGCACTTCTGTTTACCTTAGCAGGTAATTTTGAGTAAGCCTACACATCAATGTCTGAGATTCCTTTTCCCAATAGGGAAAGCAATATACTGGTTTGCAACTCAGTCATTTATCCTACATAGTAATTTTCTTCTTAGTCCTGCCCTAATCAATATGCTGATACTTGAGTATATATGAATGTCTGAGTGAGTATATAAAAGTGGTAGAAGACATAGTATATTTTCTTAGATTACCCTATAGTTTTATACAGAGATGATATTTAAAATATATAAAATTAATAGAGCATAAAGACATATCAATTAAAATAGAAGTCTGTCTTAGCCAGGCATTAACTCTTTAGTTCCTAAAGTGTGGGACATCTAGGGAATCCTGAGAGAAAGGGCTGGAACAGGGATGAGTATCATGGTGGAATTCAATTTAGTTGTAGCTGTTGAGTAACTTGTATATTTGGTCAATGGTCCTCTGTACCTGCGTGCACCAGTTGGACATTATTAGCCTTGTAAATACATAATTGACAACATCCATTCAATCATCAAAAAAGCAAAAGAGTTCCAGAAAAACATCTATTTCTGCTTTATTGACTATGCCAAAGCCTTTGACTGTGTGGATCACAATAAAATGTGGAAAATCCTGAAAGAGATGGGAATACCAGACCACTTGACTTGCCTGCTGAGAAATCTGTATACAGGTTAAGAAGTAACAGTTAGAACTGGATGTGGAACAACAGACTGGTTCCAAATAGGGAAAGGCTATATATTATCACTCTGCTTATTTAACTTCTATGCAGAATTCAGTTCAGTTCATTCACTCAGTTGTGTCTGACTCTTTGTGACCCTATGAACCACAGCACTCCAGGCCTTCTTGTCCATCACCAACTCCCAGAGTTTACCCAAACTCATGTCCATTGAGTTGGTGATGCCATCCAACCATCTCATCCTCTGTCGTCCCCTTCTCCTCCTGCCCTCAATCTTTCCCAGCATCAGGGTCTTTTCAAATGAGTCAGTCCAAAGTATTGGAGTTTCAGCTTCAACATCAGTCCTTCCAATGAACAGCCAGGACTGATCTCCTTTAGGATGGACTGGTTGGATCTCCTCGCAGTCCAAGTAACTCTCAAGAGTCTTCTCCAACACCACAGTTCAAAAGCATCAGTTCTTCAGCACTCAGCTTTCTTTATAGTCCAACTCTCACATCCATGCATGACTATGGGAAAAACCATACCCTTGACTAGATGGACCTTTGTTGATAATGTAATGTTTCTGCTTTTTAATATGCTTCCTAGGTTGGTTATAACTTTCCTTCCACAGAGTAAGCGTCTTTTAGTTTCATGATTGCAATTACCATCTGCAGTGATTTTGGAGCCCAAAAAATTAAAGTCAGCCACTGTTTCCCCATCTATCTGCCATGAAGTGATGGGACCGGATGCCATGATCTTAGTTTTCTGAATGTTGAGCTTTAAGCCAACTTTTTCACTCTCCTCTTTCACTTTCATCAAGAGGCTTTTTAGTTCCTCTTCACTTTCTATCATAAGGATGGTGTCATCTGCATATCTGAGGTTATTGATATTTCTCCTGGCAATCTTGATTCCAGCTTGTGCTTCTTCCAGCCCAGCATTTCTCATGATGTACTCTGCATAGGAGTTAAATAAGCAGGGTGACAATATACAGCCTCGACGTACTCCTTTTCCTATTTGGAACCAGTCTGTTGGTCCATGTCCAGTTCTAACTGTTGCTTCCTGACCTGCAAACAGGTTTCTCAAGAGGCAGGTCAGGTGGTGTGGTGTTCCCATCTCTTTCAGAATTTTCCACAGTTTATTGTGATCCACACAGTCAAAGGCTTTGGCATAGTCAATAAAGCAGAAATAGATGTTTTTCTGGAACTCTCTTGCTTTTTTGATGATCCAGCAGATGTTGGTAATTTGATCTCTGGTTCCTCTGCCTTAAAAAGCAGTGAAGTTGTAAGTACCTTAAAATATTAATATCAGGAATGTAAGTGCTCTACCTTATGGAAATTTAGGAGAAAGATACTGCATATATTTTAAAGTTGCTGAAATAATATGTTCAATAAAATAATTATAGCCTTAAAATATCAAGATAGATAATTTGGAACTTTTTATGCTCTGAACCCAAAAGAAGTACTATATATTGATTTTATGAAACCTAAAGACTTTGGTTCTGATTTTATAAACTCTAAAGACTTCGGAATAAATTTAGACAAATTCCTTTATCGATGAATCTGAGGACCATGGCCATTGTCACCCACAGTTAGTGACAATGGTGAGACCTGAAGCTAGTACTCAGACTTGATCTCTTTAAACCTCAGGACTTCTCCCTTTTCCTAATGGCAGCAGTGAAAACCTGCAGGAGGTCAATGGGTTGGCTTTTTCAAAGAAACAAAGGGATCTGAGAAGCTGAGTATCTTGGCAGTCAGAAAGCCTTTACTGAGCACCTAAAAGACATTGTTTTGTTTTTGTTTAGTATCCCTACAAAGAATGTCTTTTAGGTGCTCAGAACAATCTTCCTTCATTAAATATGCAAATATACCAGAATATGTAGTCCTAACTGGGTTTGGATCTCAACTCTCCTCCCTACCTGTTCAGTAGTGTCTCGGTTTTCTGGGGCAGGATAATACCCACTTCTTTGTGTTATGAGGATGAAACTAATACCCATGTAGAGCAAACAGGAAGTACCTGCCACAGAGTAAATCTTGCTATTACTATTGATCATGGTTTTATGCACTCTGGTAGATATCAATAAGGCATTGCCGTAACTCTCTGGCTGGATACAGAATCAGACACACCAGAGAGAATGAATAAGCCTCACCATGGAGATCAAATGCCAAAAAGCAGGGTAATGAAGTAAAGGCAGCCACCTTTTAAGAAAGTACCGGCTGTGAATTGCTCATGTAGAGGGGAGGAAACAATTCACACGTCAAGTATGGTGTGAGCAAAGCAATGGGAGCAGGAATGAGCACGACATGATCAGGAGTTCTTCGAATTGCTCTGCTGAATCCGGAGGTTTTGCTATTGGGTGTTAAGAAATAATCGATTAAGCAGTAGGAGGTAGTGGAAGAGGTTGGAAAGTTGTCAGAAGCCTCGAGAATTCCTCTACGTGCCTGACAAGCTCTCTGGATTCAACTTTTTCTTTTAGGCTTGGAAGGCCCGCAGGAAGTGCTCTTTAGAATAAATTGGGAGGTGGGGGTGGGAGAACTATGCAAAATACCTCGCATTTAGCACTAAATAAGTACTAGTTCCTTTTTCTCCTCGGAGATTGAAAGGTTACTTGAATAAAGGGGAGGGGTTAAATTAACGTAGATGTTTAACTCCTGTACAGATAAACATTTTAATTTATCAATCTGAAACCTGCTGAAGCGTTTTCGTTTACAGCTTCCCTTACTCGTCCGCCTCCCGCGGGCCGCAGCAACCGGCATGCAAAGCCCAGGGAAAAGGCGAGGCGTAAATGGTCTCTCCACGCATGCGTGAGACGCCTTCTCAACTCCCCCGCGGCGTCTTTTCTTGGAACAAAACTAGCGCTGAGCTCCGCAGTTTGCGTAGACTCGAATTTCCTATTGCTCTCACGGTCCGTGTGGACTCCTCGAGTGGGGCAGTTCCCCTACGTTAGTTGCGTTATTCGAAGTGAATGGCTGGGTGGTGCGTGTACGCCCAGAGCGTTGCGCCCATAGGCGGACGGGGTGCGGCTGCGCAAGGACTTGAGTGGGCCGTGTACGCCGCTAGCGTAGCGTGGTGTCCGACGCGCGGGTCTCCGCGACGCAGTTGGCGCAGCCGGCTTTGGTGAATACACGATTTGGTGCAGCCGGGGTTTGGTACCGAGCGGAGAGGAGATGCACACGGCACTCGAGTGTGAGGTAACTATAAAACCCCGATTTGTTTACATTCCCTCCCCCAGAACCGGCCCCGTGCGCGGCGGAGACTGCGAGTCCCGGGACGGCGGGGGGGTAGAAAGAGAGACAGGGACCGGGGAGTCGGGGCTGAGTCCCTCGGGGATCGGGGCGCTGGGCTTCCCGCAGCTGCTGCAGTCGGCGGCGGCGGCGAGCCGGGCAGAGCGCGCGGTGGGCTGCGCGTGGGGCGCCGCCGCTCCTCGTGTGCGCTCGGGGCTGCTGCCGGGTTAGCGACCGGGCAGCCTCCGCCCCGCGTGCGGGACCCTTGCCCGAGTCAGCCTCCTGCCGAGGCTGGGGAGCCGTGCGGGGCGTGGGGGAGTCACCGCTGAGCAGGCGGCGGCGGTTGGGGGGCTGCGCGCGGACGGCTAGGGGCCGAGGGTGGCGTGGCCGGTGGAGGCGGGGATGCGTTGGCCCGAGGATGGGAGGGTCCGCAGTCCAGTCTCGGAGGGGCTGGGAGACAGGCGGCGGCGAACGCCCCCGGTTCTTCCTCTCTCGTGCTCCCCTCCTGTGTGTCCCGGGGATCCCCGGGATGGAGCCTGGGCGCCGCTGTTCCGGCCCGGCAGGCTAACGGACGGTGGCGCCTCTGCTCCTACCGCGGGAGGCCTCGTGGGGGCTTACTTTCTCCCCGACCAACTGAAAGCCGAGGCGGGGCGCGGGGGAGTTGATATTGAAGCCAGCTGGGGTCCCTGGAGCGGAGGGCTCGGGTGGGGCTGGTTCGGTGGGCGAGGCCGGGTGAGCCGGGAGGTGGCGCGGCTGCCCCGGCTTTGTTCGTGAACGCCCTTTTGGCGGAGAACCTTAGGGTGCCCGCTGGGCTGCACCACGCCGGGGAACCTTCGCAGCCCCTTCTCCGGGTCCAGGGGTCTGCTCAACTCCTTGCTTCTCCCTCGGGATCCCCGAGTGCCCAGGCCTGGTGAGGGCGCAGGCGACATGTGGCTTCCTGTGGCTTCTCTAAAGAAGTGTTCACGTGGGAGGGAGCCTGTCCACATGGGCTGTCTTTATGAGCCGGGCACGAGGAAGAGAGGTCTCCGCAGGATCCGCAGCCCTCAGTTGGAAGTGTCCTTCGCTCAGATCCCTGTTTTAAGTAATAAAGTGACATTAAAGCACATAATTTAAAAAGGTGGTAGGTTATACTGTGGACTTTTTTTTAAGTCTTTTACGCCGTTCAGTTCTCTAGTTTCACCTAGGAACTGAGTCATTCTTGATGGAGCAAAACGAGCAAGTGACAAGTTTACGTTCCATTTGTGTGGCGGGGGGGGGGGGTATTTTTTTGGACGGGTATCTAAATTTACCTAATTAAGAACTAGCGAGTAACATATTGGAAACACTGGAGATTTAAAATGTAGTTGATTATAGTAATTCTATTGAAAGCCTGAAGACTCTTGTGTACTGTTTTTTATTAGGACTTAATTCTACAGATGTTAAATCATCTTGAGTCAGTCTCTTGTTCTAGACCTTGGGTCCATACCAGTTATCTCACATCCCTACCTGCACTAAATACTCGAGAGAGAAATATCAGTGTATTATCAGTGGTGAGTATATTAGAAGAAAAGAAAAGAATAATGAAGTGGATAAGCTTTTAAACTTTTTTGTATGGTGAAGTTCCGAATGACGATTTTAAGTATATGGAATGCATAAGATTCCAGAGAATCCAGCTGTACTGAAATATAGTTACCAAAATTTTAAATATTAATGGTGAATTCATGCTTTAGTAAAGCATTAAATATCAAGAGTAATGGCAGGTAATAATGCCTAATTTCAAACTTGGGAGGACTGTAAATATAGGTTTTAATTTGAATAATTTATATTAGTAGTGTCAGGTGCTGTATGTTAACTGATTTTTTTTTTTTTTTTGCCTACATTTATAACTGAAGGGATAACTAAGGTTAATTTACGATATATCCTTCTTCTGTATCCAGATTCTCAAACCTGAATTCTATATACAGCTCTCTGGTTAATAACCCCTGTGTAATTTGTGCTACTTTAGAATAAGTGGTTAGTTATGAGATGACATCAGTATATCACATGGTAACTTGTACTTGGGGCTTCCCAGGTAGCTCAGCCATAAAGAAATCTCCTGCCAGTGCAGGAGACATGGGTTTGACCCCTCAGTCAGGAAGATCCCCCGGAGAAGCAGATGGCAACCCACTCCAGTATTTTTGCCTGGGAAATCCCATGGACAGAGGAATCTGACAGGCTACAGTCCATAGGGCTGCAGAGAGTGGGACACAACTTATCCATTAAACAATGGCCTTTACCTTTTTCTTTGTGTTAATTTGTATTCCACTAACAGCTTAAAACTCAACACACTTCCTCCCCTTTTTAGGCACTTGATTTGAAGCCATTTTTAGGAGGCCTCCAGTTTGGTATGCAGGTGCTTCTCTAAGTAGTGTTTTTTGTTTGTTTGTTTTTAAACAGATCTATGAAGAACATAGGGCATAGGTGTTATAACAAGGGTAATTATACAACAACAGGAATGATTATTTACTTTCAATTAAAAGAATTATGTTGTTACCATTCTATTACCCCACTTCCTCAACCCTTGTTTTGGCCACTATTGGAGAGAATGTAGGGCTTGGAGTGAGACTTAAGGTTCAAAACTGATCCATTATTGACTAGTTTGGTTACCTTGATCTAGTTTCTTTATCTTAATCTTTTATCTGTGAACTTGGAAGTACCAGAAAAATCTATCTCATGGTTTACTGTGATCTTTAAATGGCATAATGAATCAAAGGGCTACAGATGATTCATTTTACCTTCTTTTCTACATTACCAACCTTCTAGTTCATTAGTGGTTGCAGGACTACTTTCTATCTTGATTCCAGAATGAGGTTTAATGGTCTCTACCAGGCCACTGAAGAGGATACAGTTATTCTGTTATTCATATGTAATAATCCATAGAATTTCTTCTTATAGATGCATTTTCTAACATAATTACATACATACATCTTTTTTCTGCCAAACTAAATTCCTGAGGGGCACATACTCCATAGCTTTTTGTCAAATAATACTTGTGACACCTTATCCAGTGAATGTACAAAACTCTTTAATCAAAGTAAAAATGTCAATTAAGTGATACAAAATTTAAATTCAGTATTAACCAAAGGAAATACTTTGGATTTTTATATGTCAGCCCTTATCTGTGTAGTGGCTACCTCAAGAATGGAAATGTTTTTGTATGTATATATCAAAAGGACAGTCACTGGTGTATTTTAAACTTATTCACAAATTGCAAAAGAATATACAGTAGGAAATGGGAAAGAGGTATAGGTAATCAGAACAGCTAGTTACTTTGCTTTATAACAGGTTTATTACCTATAAGGTCATCTTTCATTACAAGTAATTCTTATTAAAAATATACTGACTTTAGCCTTTAGAAGAGTTCTGGTTTGTCCCAACAGTTTGATGCTGCCCCCTAGTGTTTGATTGATTCCCCTTAGAGTTTTCATTCCCTTTATTGTTACCTTTCCCTAAAACAAAACATTTTAAGTTGCAATTAGATTCTTTAGTGCTACTTACATAGTTTACTTTGAGATTTCCTCCAGCTGGTTAATGTTGCTATGATTCCTTTTGAACTGTTAAAAAGATACTGCTTTTCACCCTAATTTTTCAAATAGAGGGTGAGTTTGGATGGAGGTTGAACAGTGTAAGTCCTTGTTTCTTGCAAATTATGTTGGAGGCATTTTTCGGACAGAAAGAGAGCTGTATGTTAAATATGTATCTTTGAGATTAACTTTGTATATGAATAGTAGCAGTTTGGGTTTCTTCTGGTTTAACTTTGTCCCATGTGACTATTGCCTCCACTGTACTAAAAATGTTAAAATCACATAGCCTTTCTTTTTTTAGTTCAAGGTTTTTTTGAACTTTGACATTTATAGGATGAAATTTGAAAAATAGTCTCAAGGACCTTTAATAACCATAAGATTTCATATAGTCATTTATGTAAACTCTTATTAAAATGTCAAATTATACCAGTTATCAGTATTCCAAACTACTTTTTTCATTTTCATTTTCCTTAAGTTCTGTGAATAGACCACACACACACAAAACAGGTTTTTCCAAAATAAGCAAAATATATAAGCAAATATTCTTGATAAATATTTACTATAATCAGAATATTCAAAAGTATGTCAGATATGAGGCAATTTTTAACTGAAATTGTAAAGTTTAAATAACAATAGCATTATTGAAATTATTTTAAACTGTTTAAGAGACCATGTTTAATATTCAAAACACAATAATTTATTGTCAGCACATCATAGAACATACAGTGTCAAACTCTAATAGATTTTTAGTATTAGATTTTTCATGTGAAAAGGTATTATTGAAAGGGATGATGATTTCATGTTTGTTCAGTTCAGTTGCTCAGTTATGTCTGACTCTTTGCAACCCCATGGACTGCAGCATGCCAGGCTTCCCTGTCCATCATGAACTCTTGAAACTTGCTTCAACTCATGTCCATCAGTTGATGCCATCCAACCATCTCATCCTCTTATGTCCCCTTCTCCTCCTGCCTTCAGTCTTTCCCAGCATCAGGATCTTTTCCAGTGAGTCAGTTCTTCGCATCAGGTGGCCAGAGTTAATTAGAGCTTCAGCATCAGTCCAGTGAATATTCAGGACTGATTTCCTTTAGGATGGACTTGTTTGATCTGTTTGCAGTACAAGGGACTCTCAAGAGTCTTCTCCAACACCACAGTTCAGAAGCATCAGTTTTTCTGTGCTCAGCTTTCCTTATGGTCCAACTCTCACATCCATATGTGACTACTGGAAAAACCATAGCTTTGCCTGGATGGACCTTTGTTGTCAATATCTCTGCTTTTTAATATGCTATCCGGGTTGGTCATAGCTTTTCTTCCAAGAAGCAAGTGTTCTTAATTTCATGACTGCAGTCACCATCTGCAGTGATTTTGGAGCCCAAGAAAATAAAGTCTCTCACTGTTTCCATTGTTTCCCCATCTATTTGCCATGAAGTGATGGGACTGGATGCCATGATCTTAGTTTTTTGAACATTTCAGATTTGTAAGTATACAGATAAAACCTAAAATTCTTTTCAAGTACAGTTTCAATTATTTTCATTAAGAGTTAGTGGTATATGATTTTGTGATTTTATATTTATAGGCTTTCCTGGTGGCTCAGTGGTAAAGAATCCGCCTGCCAATGCAGGAGTAGGGAGTTCAATCCCTGGGTTGGGAAGATCTCCTGGAGAGGCAAATGGTAACCCACTCCAGTATTCT